CAACTGCTTTTACTGTAAGTGTAGCACATGTCTTCGCATATAGAAATATGTTTAACTGCACTTACAAGTGTGTCAGAGCCCTGTTTGGCTATTTGCACTCACTTGTGAAGGTTGGACTTTTGCAAAAATAAAGGGTCATTAAGGTTATTTTTTCTTTCAAAAATAAAAAAAGAAAAGCCCAATGTGAGATTTAATCTTGGGTTGTGGTTATCAAAAATCACCAGTTTATACCACTCTTCCATCCAGTCTTTATTGTAGCAGTATGAAGTGGTAGAGCCAGGAGAGAATGTAGAAATATGGAGCAGCCTTCATCACAGCTGCCGAGGTAATAGCTTTCCATTTACCAGTCAATAACTGTTTATGTATAATTCCCTCTGTCTATACAGGTGGTGTTTGAGTGTTGGGACTGCAGAACCCATGTAAGAAACCCACTGTTGGGAGCTAAGACTTCCCTATTCTACCATCACCAACACCTCTAAGAAATTAACACTTTTAATTTCCATTCATAACTAACTAATTTACATAATTTCAAAACCAAATATATACATGCAAAGTAGTCCGGTCATCTGTTCAAAAATATAAAAATATAAATCTATGAAAAAACAACTTATAAAAAAGCTAACACCTACTCTATCTCAAAATTTACCCCACTTGCCCAAAATGTAGCTTGGCACCTGCAGCTCCAGAACACATTTTGGCTTGCATTAGATGCACTAAACAGGACCTTTGGGAGAGGCTGTTGCTTATCATAAAACAGCTCGAGGAGCATGAACTCATGGAATTTGTATAATCTTTACACAAGGGGATAAGAAACAGCAACAACATACTCCATCTCTAGCCGTTCCTTCTCACAGTTGCCCAGGAAGGTGCCAAACTGACAGGAGTACACATGGTCGTGGATGGTGAGCAGGAAGCGGTGGTTGAACTGGAAGGCAAAGGGGAACTGGGTGGTGAGCTGCCACACCGCGTCCAGGAACTGGGTGAACACCGGCGACGTCTCCTTCGTGTCACCTTGGATGAAGCTGCACCGCGCTGTGAACTTGTGCCCGAAGCTTAACCATTCCTTTTCTATCAAAGCCTGCACACATTTTGTTTACATCAACCAATGTCGGATCATATAACTTGTGAAAGATTTTTACATTCTTCAAAGAATAATGGAAGAATATAAACTATTTAATTTGGAGAATTATTCTAAAGGAAATATATTCAAGATTAGAAAGACAAAGTAACGAGACCAAATCTAAATAAATAAATAATTATGAAGTTTTGGTAACAATGCTATCACCAAAACTTCATAAAAACTTTGAACCTTCAAACCTTTGAACAACTGAATTTTAAAATTGTAAATTAAAAATATACTTTATTAATTTTACTTAAAAGAAAATACTTTTTTCAAATTTTGATTCAAATTTACCAGTTACAAAAGATGGGTTATATATGATGTGTATAATTGGGTAGGGAGCTATATATAGTTAGTTCCTACAGTAGTAAAGAATGTATCTGATTTAGAATGGAAGTAATCACAGTATAAGTGAGAGCATAAATATAGTTACATATAATATGAACTTCGCCTTTGCCGGTTCCAAGCCCGGATGAAAAAGGAGGAGGGGGAGCAGTAACAAGCCCACTAAAAAACCTGGGCTCAGCTGGCCCGGCTGATAGTACCCTGTAAGGGCTCCAGGGATACAGGATAAGCAGCGTCTGTACTCCATGTTAGGAGTGGCTGCACATGGCGTCTGTTCCTCATGTCAGAGGCGGTCATTTTTTGGAGCCAAGTTGGCCTGCTACTGAGTAGTGCTTCCAGTCTTAATGACAAAGGCAGACGCATTTTACTTCACCCAATCATGATGGTTGTCGAATCTCCCCCCCCCCGGCAGACACCATCAAAAGTCTCAAGCTTTACAAGCTTGATACCTTAATATGATTGAGTGGAGATAAGAAAGAAAAAGAAGAAGATATATAATAGGCTGTTGCAAACCGAGCTTGAAAACATATAGCTATTTTCAAATAGCATGTTCTGACTGATCACATGAGCATTTTAGATGGTAGAGCGCCATCTAGAGAAACAAAAATCAACTAAGCGTTGATTTAGGTTTGTTCCATGATATTTGACTAACACATTTTCTTGATAAATCAACAAAAGCTAACCACGTAGGTATTTCGGGCTGTTGGCCTTCTTCAACATGGTTAAGGCTGTACCTTAATGACCAAAAAAATATGTTCCAAGAGGCTTGTTGAGAAATCAATAAATGGGTATTTAAGGCCAAATTTGCCTAATTACGCTGAACATGTGAGAAAAAATGAAAAATTTGACCTTAAATACCCGTTTCTGGATTTCTGAAGAAGCCTCTTGGATCTAATTTTTGGGAACTGGAACATGCTGACGAGAGCCAACATCCTGAATTGTCTTAGCATGTATATCGGGATTCAGACAATAATTCTGAAAGATATTTGATATAGAGTGACCTTTATTGAAGACACATGAGATAAAAGTATGAACTAAATTGCCTCTGTCTCTTTAAAAAAATAGATGACCAGTGACATCAAAGATTATGCATTTCTTTTAAGTTTTGTCCATTAGTTTATAATGGAACAAACCTAAATCAATGTTTAATTTATTTTTGCACTACTAGATGGTGCTCTTTCATCTAAAATGCTCTTTTGAGTGGTAAGGATATGCCCCCCCTTTTTTTTTAAATATCAACACCTGACCTTTTTTCTCTATTTTCCCAAAAACTAAATTCTAAATTAACAAAAAATGAAGGAAAAAATTCAAATTAGTCAGATTTTTTTTACCAACACAAGTTGATATAACCACACAAAAATCCAAATAAATAAATATATTTTACTACCTTGTGTTTACAATATATAATCCAAATTGTACTTAGCATTTTTTTAAATATTAGTTAGACATTATGGGGGCAGAGGGACTACAGAAAAGAAAATTAGAAAATTAATGAAAAATTCAGCATTATCAGAGTATATATAGAAGAGGCTGTGTGTGTAATTTTCTCTAAGAAAAATCTCACAGAAGCAACTCAAAAAGGCAGAGTATTCTCACCATAAAACAGGTTCCTCCTGATAAAAGAAAATAAGACCTAATCCAAATAACTTATTAGTGTGTGACGTTTCAGCAACAACATTGTCACCATCATCAGACAAAAGAATGTTGTTGCTGAAACGTCACACACTAATAAGTTATTTGGATTAGGTCTTATTCTCTTTTATTATAATCTATAATCCAAATTGTGCTTTATCAGGTTCCTCCTGATCTCTAAAGCCAGGAAGTGCAGAACAAAAAGAACTCACCTGGAAGCCACTGATGGTGCGGTAGTAAGGGTCAATGAGGAGGCAGGCCAGGGAGCAAGTCTGGGCCGTACGGTCCCAGCCGTCAGAGCAGTGGACCAACACATTGGTGCCGTCCCTGATGGCCTGGAGGACCACAACACACTCAGCCTATGTCCATCCTGCCAGCCAGGAACTCAGCTCACATGGGCGATAAACACGGAGGCCTCTAGGATGAGCTTGATGTGCCTTAGCCAGCCACTGGAATCCAGGCCCTTGAGGAAGGCACTCATGGTGGGTTCAGCATCAAAGGCTGGTCCCACAACAACATACATACTTTATAACAACTGTTTTTTTTTTGCTTATCCCTAGTATACATGGTACAGGCCATGGTAATCATGGTGGGTAGAAGTAGACGACTCTTTTACTGTAAGTGCACCACAAGTCTACACATGTGAAAAGCAGTATAACAACTGTACATATATCACAGCATGGATAGTAGAAATAAATACACATTATATTGACAAAATAAAAAGATTTAAGCATGAATTTTTCTTTTATCTCTATATATATAAAAGTCAATGTCTGTCTGTTTCGCAATAAACTCAAAAACTACTGAACCAATTGGTACCAAATTTTGCCTGTCGCTTTTTATAAACCTGAGGAAAATTTTCGGCTACATTTTGATTAGTATTTTTGGCTATTTCTTTTTTTCAATTGAAGAACTTTTTTTTTTACGCGGAGTAATCCGGAATGGAATGAATACCCAAATATGGCCATTTTTTATAAGCATCGGTGGTTCAGTGGTAGAATGCTCACCTGCCACGCGGGCAGCCCGGGTTCGATTCCCGGCCGATGCATTTTTTTTTTTTTACAATTTTTAAAACTCATTTATATTATATATAATCCATAATTAAAAAGGCATATATTGGATCAAAAAATCATTTATTTTACCAATATTTCAGCTGGCTGAACGCCAACTTTATCAAGGTGTTATAACATTTTAAAGTGTATCAACAACAAACTCAGCGCCACATAACGTTGTTGACACACTTTAAAATGTTATAACACCTTGATAAAGGTTGGCGTTCAGCCAGCTGAAATATTGGTAAAATAAATGATTTTTTTTAACCAATATATGCCTTTTTAATTAAAGATTTATCTATGGATTGCTCAATTTTCAAATTATATATATAATATAAATATATATTATTATATCAACTATATTAATTAAATCAAATACCTAAACACTAATATAATACAATTTTTGCCATCACACACACTTTTTTCCCTGTAGTTTATGTGTTACTTCTGCATTGCTATTCTATGGCACTTCTAATATTTATTATTGATGTACTTTCAGTATGAAGGAAATTGCAATCGGGGGAATTCTCGGGCGAAGCCGGGTCATACGTCTAGTATACAATAAAAACTTCTCAACTGTCCTTATTGCTATATAAAAAAGTTATATTGGTTCTATTTAAACTAAATACAGTAAAGAGAAACTCCCTGTAAATGAGATACCTAGTTTCAGAGACAAAGCGTCCTTTAGAGAAAGGTGTTTTTTAAATGAAGAGTTGCTGATTATTAAAAACTAGCCGAATGACCCGGGCAACGCCCGGGTTTTACCCGATTAAATGCTTTTATTCAAATACTATTCGTTACAATTATAAATTGGCGCCGTAGATGTCACTCTTGTGAAACGTCCCGCCCCAAACCATCGGCCGGGAATCAAACCCGGCGCGCCCGCATGGCAGGCGAGCATTCTACCTACCACTGAACCAAAAGCAAACGGTGACAGAAGTGTCTCGTGCATTGGCGGCACCAAATGATGGGGGGGGGGGGGGGGTGGGAAGGGTGGCGTGATCGTAGCTGACCAATAGGAGGGCGCCGGCAAACCGTGACAGAGGCCATGACGCTCGTAACTGTATATAGAATGGTAATGGTAGTGGTGAAATCTGTTCTTTGTAGATAAATGTCGTCTAGCAAGAGTATTCTCTCATGGAGGTCCTACTGTATAATGTTTGAAAATAAAATTTAGAAAGAATAATTTTCTTTCTTACAACTCATGAAAAAATAATAAAACATTGCTGTAATTAAATCACAGGTCATAAAGATGTTCCAGTATTTCTGATATGTTCAGTTTGATAAAAGAAAATAAGACCTAATCCAAATAATTTAATAGTGTGTGACATTTCGGTAACAGCATTGTTACCATCATCAGACCAAAGAGTAAATGGATGGATTAAATGTCATTTACTCTTTGGTCTGATGATGATAACAATGCTGTTACCAAAATGTCAAACACTATTAAATTATTTGGATTAGGCCTTATATTCTTGTATCTATAATCCAAATTGTGCTTTATCATGTTCAGTTTGAAGATGTTTTGTACAGTAGAGTCTCCTATGAGAGATTATAACCAAAAACATGACGTAACCTAGTTTCACCTGGAGATGGCCTCTTATCAGAGTTTCTGTTTTAGATGAAAGGACTCTCCATGACTTAGTCTGATTGGCTGGAGTCTACTTTGCTTGATGATATTTGTTTTGACAGACTTGTAGTAAGTCTAATGTATTAAAGCAAACTATTGGTATAGAAATCTCATTTCCCAAACTTTAATTCTGAGTACACAAGGTAATAAGACCAAATCCAAATAAATAAATAGTGTGTGATGTTTCGGTAACAGTGTTGTTACCATCTTCAGACAAAAGTGCTGAATGATAAATAATACCACAGCACTGGAAATTACACACCCTCCGCTTGTTTTAAATGTTTTAAATAGTTCCTGTTTTCAAGTGTGTAAACAAGATAGCAGATAAGGTCATTTTCTAAGAATTCTAAAATTGTGCCTTATCATTAGTTCTGAGTATTTGAGATACAGTAAAACTTCCATGAGAGCGGACATTCTTGCTAGAGGACACCTCCCTACATACGACAGTTTTGATAAGGCACAATTTGGATTATAGATTATAAACACAAGGTAATAAGACCAAATCCAAATAAATAAATAGTGTGTGACATTTCGGTAACAGCGTACATTCAGTACTTTTGTCTGAAGATGGTAACAATGCTGTTACCGAAACGTCACACATTATTTATTTATTTGGATTTGGTCTTATTACCTTGTGTGTATACGACAGTTTTCTTCGCCAAAATTACAATGTTTGTAAATAGTTATAAAACGAAGAGAAAAATATTTTTATTAATATGCATGGGCTACAAGCTTTCGGGCTTCACGCCCTTCGACGGGTACAACATATTGGGAGAAAATAACGCTATATATAGTATCGATATATGAGAAATCTGCATACATAACCATATATGAGTTAACAATATCAGATTAAGTTATGGAAATAAGACTTTTTTATAGAAATATTTGACGAAAGTAGGATGTGATGCTAATTAAAAATTAAAAAATTAAAAACTAAAAAAAATTTTTTATGACAGATTTAACACAACTAAGACCATTGCAATTTATAGAAGAACATATGATCATCTATGGATGTCAATCAACTTAAACCAATGTGATGTTGTATTAAAAAAAAAAACCAACAACAGTGAGGAACCATGGCATGGCCCGCCATCAGCGCGATCATCGGACAAAGGAAAAAATTATATAGGGGTAGGTGTCTGGGTGGGAGGGTGGTTTGTTTGCGGTGGGATTAACAGTAAGATCAGGGAAAGAAGTGAACGGCCTATAGGTTATTACAAATATCAAAATACTGCGATGGTATGTCGATGTGTCTGTTAATGCTATGGTTATTGATGGATAAAATAGCTTCAATGATCAACCTTTGGTGCTTGGTATTGACATTAGAGTACAGGGTGGTAGGGGAGGAAAGGTTGAATGAATGGCCGGTGGTGTTAATATGGTTGAAAATGAGCGACCTGTTGTCTCTGTTGGCAATGCATCTACCGTGTTCGGTCATCCTGATGGCCACGGACCTACCAGTCTCGCCTATGTAAGATGCACTGCAATCGTTACAAGAGACTGAGTAGACCGAGCCACCAGAGGACCGAGCAACGGTAGATCTAGGTAATCTGGTGATAGGGTGTCTGAGGATGGCGCCGATACTATTGCTATTGGTAAAATGGGTGTTAATTCCGTGCGTTCTGAGGATGCGGGAGATGGCGACTGATTGGGTGGAGAAGGGAAGTAAACAACTGTTTCTGGTGATTGCAGGAGGTCTAACGGAAGAAGGGTCAAATTTATACTTATGTATGAAATGGGGGGGGTATTGGGACCGGGCCAACTGTTTAATGATTAGGGAAAATTCAATGGTTCTAAACAGTGGAAGGGAGCAGTGGGTGAACAATCTCTTGGTAAGAGTACGGACAGTATTTATTTTATGCGATAGGGGACATGAGGATTTGAAGTCTGTATAGAATGTGGGATTGTTAACCTTGTGGTAAACGGTGGTGTGGTAATGAGAGGCAGTACGTATGACCAGTATATCAAGATACGGCAATATGGATCTGTTTTCCAATTCTAAGGTGAATGAGATCTCGGGATGATAGGAGTTTAGAGAATCTAAAATATTGATTTCTTGTCCGGTATCACATATGCAGAAGATATCATCAATATATCTCCGCCACATGTGAATGCCCGGTGCAATTTGCTGTTGGACCCAGTGGTCAATGTTGGCCATGACTATTTCTGCAAGTGGGGGGGATAGTGGGCTGCCCATGGGCGAGCCTCTGATTTGTTTGAACAACTGGTTGTTAAATGTGAAAGTAGTAAAGTCCAAACACAGGGAGGACAGTGCGACTATGGATTCTGCGGTACGGGGATCTACCTGGTTATCCTGTAAGAAATTAGTCAAGTGCCTAATAATAAGCTGATGGGGGAGGGAAAGATACATGGCAACTACATCATATGACACCATAACGGTGTTGGGGACAGGGCAGAGAGAGTTAACGGATTGCACAAAAGAAGGGATATCCCTAATGGCAGAGGATTGTGGACTGGCCTTCACCCAAGGTGTGAGAAAGCCAGTCAGATATTTGGACAGCTTATAGGCAGGTGAAAGATGGTAGGCTATGATGGGGCATAGGGGGATGCCAGGCTTATGGGTCTTAGGAAGACCATAGATATAGGGGGTATTATTAAGGTCGGAGATGAAAGTACTATATTGATCCGGTGTTATGTGACCCGATTTTTTCAAACGCAATAACCCCAACCTGAAAGATTTAGCTGAGGCAGATGCATCAGACTGTGCAATGGGGATAAATGTATTGCGGTCGCTGAGTATCTCCGTCATCTTGGAGGCATAGTCAGCCGTGTCCAAGACGACGGTCTGGGAACCTTTATCCGATCTGGTGACTATAATGTTAGGGTTTCGCCTTATGGTAGCCAGGGAGCGGTACTTACCAAGAGATTGGGACTGAGAAGGGGTGGGTTTCCGGAGGATATGGGCTATGGAACTCCGTATGTCATATTGGGCTGTGTGGGAAAGGGAGCTGATGGCGGGCTCAACACCAGAAATAATTCTGGGAATGTCAGGCGTTGTGGGAGGACGGTACTTGAGGCCTAAGGAAAGAACCTCGGTCTGCGAAGGAGACAACACTGTAGATGACAGATTGAGAAGAGTGGGAACCGGTTGGTTGTCGGGGTGAAATTCCTCTGGGAAGCCATATTTGCTGATCCAAAAGGATAGCTTCCTGTATTGACGCCCTTTAATGATGCTGTCCTGCTGTCTGATGTCGGCGGTGAGGAGACCAAGGAGTTCAACCATATTGGATTGGGATATGAGATTGGCGACTTGGGAAATGACGCCTTTAATGGTCTTGGACAAGCAGCGTATTCGCGAATAACATCCCTGGGTTCTAGCCCATAGTAATTGGCGTTGGGATCGGAGGATAACCCTGTTCGAATGAGAATTTCCCACAGGATCTGCGACTCTGAGAGATGGGGGGATGAAACGGGCCCTTTGGCAAATCTTGTTGAAGTTGAGGTGCAATCTCCATCTGGCCAGCTGCAGCGACTTTCGACACAGATGCTTTAGGAGGCGGATTACTTCAGGATTGAGGTTGGTGAATCGACGAATAGCGTTCAAGGATAGTTGTGCTTCAAGGCCAATTGCCATCGGATATTAGAACTTAGAGCAAACGTAAAAGATTTTTAATTTTAACATGAATCATGAAAATTTCTCTTATAGAATTGTAAATAGTTATAAAACGAAGAGAAAAATATTTTTATTAATATGCATTGGCTACAAGCTTTCGGGCTTCACGCCCTTCGACGGGTACAACATATTGGGAGAAAATAACGCTATATATAGTATCGATATGTGAGAAATCTGCATACATAACCATATATGAGTTAACAATATCAGATTAAGTTATGGAAATAAGGCTTTTTTATAGAAATATTTGACGAAAGTAGAATGTGATGCTAATTAAAAATTAAAAAATTAAAAACTAAAAAAATTTTTTATGACAGATTTAACACAACTAAGACCATTGCAATTTATAGAAGAACATATGATCATCTATGGATGTCAATCAACTTAAACCAATGTGATGTTGTATTAAAAAACCAACAACAGTGAGGAACCATGGCATGGCCCGCCATCAGCGCGATCATCGGACAAAGGAAAAAATTATATAGGGGTAGGTGTCTGGGTGGGGGGGTGGTTTGTTTGCGGTGGGATTAACAGTAAGATCAGGGAAAGAAGTGAACGGCCTATAGGTTATTACAAATATCAAAATACTGCGATGGTATGTCGATGTGTCTGTTAATGCTATGGTAATTGATGGATAAAATAGCTTCAATGATCAACCTTTGGTGCTT